GGTTGAAACACTAAATTAAGGATATATTTAGCATAAAAGTTTTTAAAGGCCTTTAGGCAGCATCAGAAAGTTGTAGAGTCATCAGCCTACTAATGAAGTAATTTATCATAGTTTTTTCATCAATAATCATCTTTATGATTGCTCATGAAAGATTTAAATATCTACTATTTATTTAATATTACCAAAATCATATTAAAGTTTTCCCAGACGGATCTATCTGTTTTTAAATTTTAAATAATTGATATGATTATTCTTTCTAGCTTTAAGTTCATCAGCTGTATATTGATTATTTCAATCCTAATATATTTGATTTTTAATGGAGAATTAATTATTTATTACAAAATAAAGTAATTTTTCATTTTAAATTTTTTCCACTAATTTAATTTTTAGAATTGATATTGTTCAAGGAAATTATCAAAAGCCCCAATGGCCATAGAGATAGAGAATATTATTTTAATATTTATCTATTCCTTAAAGTCGTTATTAATTTCAATACTTAGGGTTTTAAGCCCTTTAATAGCCATGTTAGCCTCAATAATTTTTGGCTAGAATAGCTGAAAGATAAATTAATCCACAAAATTATTCATTAGATGAAAATATCAGTAGCGAATTTATGAAGTGCATTTCTTAACTTTGGGCAGATAAAATAACAGAAAAAAAAATATCAGATTGATGAAAAAGGAATTTGAATAAAATTTCTTAATAGAATTCAATTAACTATTAAATGAAATATAAATTATTCAATTGTTATTAATTCAAAAGGAATAGAAAAAATATTTCATTTACTTAAAGCCGCTCCTATTTTTGACAAAGAAGTATAATAGGAATGGGAATAATTTTTTGAACTCACCATAAATTAAGAATTTAATGTACCAAAATAAATAGCTCAACAATATAACACAGCATTAGAAACTATATATCCCATCAAAGTTTTAATTCAAATAACCATAAATATTCTCATTTGTTAACCTAGTTAGCCTCTATGGAATTTTTAAGTAGTAATTCAGATTCGGCAGATTAAAATTTTAAAGATTATCAATGTGGTAACGGTAAATTTTTATCAATATTATATTAAACAAATATAGAAAAAAATCACAATATGAATTATAATTTTGTTCTTTCAATAAAAATACTAATTTATTTGAATTAATGATTTATGTTATTTTTTTTATCAATTCATCTCATCTAACTTTGTTCTACATAAGGGACAATCTTCCTTCTCTTATAACCATTTTCTTAGACATTTTTCATGAAATTTGTGTTTACACTATGTCAAAACAACTGGGGCTTACAAAAGTTGATTCTCCATATCAGCAATTACAATACAATCTAAGCATATAGCACAATCCTAATAATATTTATTCAATATCCATTTAGGTAAGATGCATCTTGATCCATATTTATATTGTAAATAAAGAAGCAAAACAGATATCAAATAAATACAGTAAAATAATATTATAAATAGGTAATCGAATTCTATAAAATTACTCTATACATAATAGAATTGCAAGTAAGTCTATATTAATATGAAATAAATACTTAAAATAGCAATCCTGAAGACAAATATCCAAAAAGATAAAATAAATTAAAATTCTCTATGGAGTTCCATCTAATATTGTGTATAATTTGAGGAAAAAGAACAAAAGCATAGCTGAGTTGAAAAAACTAGAGTTCAACACTTAAAATAGTGATTAGAATATTGATAATAATTGCTAACAACTATATAACTAAATTTTGTTCAAATATTTACACCAAAAAAACAGCATTCTTGCCCGACGATAGTTTCTTAAAATTGAAGAATTCATAGCCTTTTCGATAAAAAAATCCGTGGCAAGATTGCCCCACACAAAATAAGATAAGATATAAATTATCAATATAGCGAGATGTATATAAAAGTTGAAATAAATCGACTAATATACCATAATGAATAGATATATAAACTACAATATCCCCAATTTAAATAATAATGCTATAAAAGACAGCTAAAAATATTTCATGTGTTACTTAGCTTAATTTCATCTTTATACGCAATATAAATTTTCGAAACATCAAAGCTAATGCAAATTCATAGATAAAAAAAATTAATGCCAAACTCTCATTAATAATTATTTATAGTTAATTTTCTTCATTGCTTGCTTTTTTAGTAAATTTTAATAATTAGTTGCAACGAGGTAATTCATGATTGCTGGAATAAAGAATGACGATTAATTATATATAATTCACTGCTTTGGTATTATTATCCACTGAAATTGCTACAATAAATTCCTTTTTGCACTGAATTAAAGAATTATCCCATTCTATATGAATATTTCCAATACCTCTCTAATCTCTTTGATATTATTGAAATATTACATTAAGAAGAATTTAACATTAATGGATTTATCTCCAAAAAATATTCCTATTGCTCATCAGTATTGTTGAAACCTTTAAAAATAATAGAATTATGAGAAAATTTGATTATTCCTTAAATTTAATGAGTATCGATTTTATGATTTTTATCTTCTAGTATCCAAATGCCTTTTTAAGATTTATATTCAGAAACATTATATGTATTCTGAATGGGTTAAAGTAAGGAAAAAGAAATCAAAAGGTAGCATCCAGAAAATTTTTTAAATATTCCACATCTTTTCAATATAATTATTTTTAACATAAAAATATACTATTTAAAAATTTCTATTAAAATGATCATAGACTGAATGAATCTCCTTAACTATTTTGGTTAACTTCAACTCACTGCATAATGATTAAGTTTAAAGGTATAGAAACTTTTACAGGGCTTATAATATTAAAATCTGTAAAATTGGAACTATTTGCCACATATCCAAGTTTTTGTTTGCACTTATCTCTATTCCCCCAGAATCTTGAAGCTAGTCTATTAATAAATTTAAATAATAATTTGATAACAATACATACAATTCATTGTCAAGAAGCGATTCGAAAAATTCATTAGCAATAACAAATGAGACCGTTAACTCAAAAGTATTGATAATTTTACTTTGTAATTTGATGATTGTCTCTTGTTGGGGCCTAACTATTGAGTTAATTAAAAACATTAAAAATAAGGTTTGATCTAATTGTATATTAAAATGCTTCAGTCCTTAGTAGGGCAATTGTTGCTTAAATAAAAATTTCTAAAGATGTAACAAACAATTGATTATTTTAAGCTTGAAACAAAATGTACTTAATCTTTAATAAATAATTGGAGCCTCTATAAAAAGTTAAAAATAAATTGTTCTAAAAAATACTTACAAAAAGATACTCATTTTTATTTATTGCTTAATATGTTATCGAATTTCTAATTATAATAATAATAAATGAAAATTTAATATAAAACCATAATTAAAAAGATAAAGGAATGATTCTTAGTTGACTGAATTAAATAGAATATAAGTTTTAGGATTATTAATTAATATGTAAGAGGCAAAATACCAAAATTTTTAAAGTAATTGATATTCTAATCAACAATCAAAGGATTAAAGCTTGAAGGATTAATTTGTGGATAAAACCAACTAAAACATTGAATTTATTTCAGAATTAGTTCCTTAATAATAAAATTGCAAAAATAAGCCTAATATTAATAAAATCAAGTTATTCCAAATGTTGAACACTTCAATCACAGTTTGGGGCCAATGCCTGCTAGGAATTCTAAATTACTGAAAGACTAAGACTTTTCAACATAGAAATCATTCTTATGCGGAATTTTAGGAGTATACATATTATGTTCCATTTTGGAATATAGCTAACTATATATCCTATTGTTATCTTTGGTTGGAAGATTTGCCGAAAAATCATAATTTGGATGTAATTTTTAGGTTGCTTTAATTATGCTTTCCTCTGTTATTGGCAATTTTAATTGATTTATCTCACTAATTTTTTGAATGTTCTCAGTAAAAAATTTAACCTAATCTGTAAGGCATTTCATAACTATTTTATTAGTTAATGTTTTTTTTTGATTTTCTTGTGATTGTTATTTTGGTTATTATATTTACTTATATTGCATTATTTTTCTTTCAAAAAAATTTTGAATGGGAGAATATTTTATTAATTCATTTTTAGAGTTTGAGTTGGAAAGACATCAGGTATGATATATGATTGTTTTATTTAATTCTTAATTACTAGGTATTGTTTGTTGTATTGATTAAATTTTTGTTGTTATTATTATGACAGATTTACTACAATACTTTTATAATATCTCTGCTCTTTATATATCAATATTATCAAGCACAAAACCAGAAAGGCGATTGTAATGTTGAGAATGATTTTTTTTGATTGATAAATTGTAATAAACGATAGATAGAGGACTACTTTACTTAGTAATAAATAATTAAATAATTTTATTTCAAAATTTTTCATAATATCAAATCAACAACAAAATTCACTTTTGAATCTACTTAAATGTCAATGTTGAATGAAAATGTATAGCCATATACAATATCAAATTAGACAAAATTTATCTTGTCGATTGGTTTAGAATCTTAATCAATAGTTCAGATTTTTATTCTAAAATTTTTATAATGTAATTCTTCAATATATCTCAAGTTTAATAGAATTACTTAATTAAACAAATTTGCTTTCAAATAGTTATGCACTAATCAAATAAATGAATTTCTAGCATTTATTAATTTGACATTAATTAATTGTAAATATTTTAAACACAATTTATTTATAGGTAATTAATCCTTGAATTATAAAAATTTAACAATATTAAATATGATATCTAAAAAATCGTTAATAATCTCATCTTAATACTTTTCTAATTTTTGAGTGAAATAAAAGCATTTATTTGATTTCATCAAATTAAGATAGCTTTACTAATAATGATCTTTTATATACTAGGAATATCTTAAGACCTAAATTCATTCACTAAGCTAGAAAATCTTTTCAATATAATTTGTCTTTATTTTTCTTAAGAGTTGTGTAAAATTCAAGCAAAAAGTTATATATGTAGAAGGAAAGGGGCATAGTAATTAAATCTGCAATTTAAAAATGTAGGCAGATTTTTAATTTGATTAGGGTGGCTGTAAGAGTCTTATAGAAATACTAATTTTTTTTAAATTAAAGATTGGCACTACAATTAGGATATTATTTATAATAATTTGAAAACTGAATTATCATATTGGTTCCATAATTAAATTATTGATTTATAATATTTTAGTTTAAGAATTTGACTATATAATTTAAGAATAATAATAACTATTATAATATTAGTAATAATTTAGAGATATTTTCAAATTTTAACAATTTTACTTTCTTTTTTTTGATTATATTTGTTCGGCATAGCAAATCAGGGGATAATATTTAAAAAAGCAATAAATTAAGGCATTTAGGTATGAGTTTGATTTATTATAATTAGTTTTAAAGTAAATTTCACAAATGCTATATTAAATCAATAAATTAATAAATTAAAACAGGTACATTTTTACATCTTAATCAATTATTCAAATATGTACCCTTAATGCTAAAAGCGTATTATTGAATGTGATTATCATTCAGTCTTTTTTCAATACGGTATGAACCAGAAATATATCTCAATTTATCATATTATTATTTAAGATAAGTTTATAATTTTAAGAGCCTCGTCAAACCTTGAAGTTTATGTGAATCATTTTAATTACGATATCAAACCACATCATTATATCTTGAATATGAGGATTCAAATCATTCTCTAGAAATATTTTGAGATAAACATGTCAATTCAAACAAATTATAATTCATAAATCTAGCATTCTTTTATTTCTGGCTTATTCTGTCCAAATAATATGGGTTCTCACTTAGATTTTTGTATTAATTAAATTAAAATTAATGACCTAATTTATAATAACCATCAGTAAAGTTACTATCTATTCTTAAATCGTGTCTGCCTCAAATTAAAGGTCCATAACCTGAATTACAATAAATAGCTTTTTATCTCTCATCTGACTTCAAAGGATAAACTTCATCATGAGTTTATGAAAATATAAAAGATTACAATGTATTATCTTCTATATAACCAGTTGGATTTTATTCCCATCTACAAAGAGAGTATGCTCCAAAGATGTAATCACTTTTTGATTAAAATACCATAAGTAAGTTAGATTTACTATTTACTTTATTCCAATATAATTAATTATTTAATCCATCTTTAGATCCCTAATAAATCAACACTGATTATTTGATAATTTTCTTTGTCTTCTCTTGTAATATTTAAAATATTTTGATCCAGTAATTATCTTTCAGTAGATTTGGTTTTACACTTGCTTCAATTTTATTTATTTCAGTAAATTAAAAATTCAAATTTGTTAATTATTTTTTGAAAATTTGATTTAGAATAATTTAACCCACTTAATTACAACATCCAGCTAGAAAACCATAAATTAGATGTTCCAATCTACCTGTACTGGTTGCTTTAATTGTGATATATTTATTCCAGATAATTTATCAATTTAGAAATACTGGTAAACTTACATTTAATTCAAAAAAATGTTGTCTCAGTTCATAAAGCCTAAACATCAATATACCTCGTTTCATACAATTATTGTTATTTAGAAATTAGTGATCTATCTCTCAAAAATTGATTTTATTCATTATTTTTAATTGTTATAGAAATGAATTATCACCAAATTCAAAATTTTTAATCCTCTCCTCTTCCTTTATTTAATTTATTTATGATACTAAACTGAAACTAATTTCCATATTCAGTGATGAGACTTTTTAATCATCAATTCATTTTTATCCTCTTGATGAATTCTTTAAGACAATTGACCTTGTTTTTATACGTCAGACTTAGAATAATCTGTGATTTCACAAGTCATTGTTATTGTTAATAAATCCTATTCAAATTAATGATCAAATTTATTTGTAGATTTCATACTGTCATAATTCAAGCATAATTACTTTTTTATATTTAAATTTTGAATTAAAATTGTTTTTTCGAAAATATATAGTGAAAATTGAAAAATCAGTGAAAAACCTTTACTCATTTCGAATTTGAGAACAATTTTAATTACTGATTTACCATATTTGATTTGTGAAAATTTAGGTTAAGTTAGTTTTTGATTAACGCATGGACAAATATATAAATTTAAAAAAGGAGGTCCATTTTCATTGAATTAAAGGTCCATGCTTTTTAAGATACTTTAAAAGAAACTTAATATAGATAGGAATTTCCTAATTGAACCAAAATATAGATCAGTTTCCAAGCATCAAATAAGAGGACATTAGCAATGTGCAGAAAAAATCATATTATTTGATAGAATAACTCATTGATTTGTGAGAGGATATACAACTGGAATTTGATAAGCGTTTCTTAGATTTCAAAAAAATATCCCATAAACTAAGAAAATTGTGTTGGTATGGTTGTTCTCACTCCTGAAATATCGCCCAAATATTTCATTTAATAATTAAATTAGATTTATTTCAACTTATTTTATTAAAACACTACAGTCATTCAAAAGATTATAAATTTAATCGAAATTGGTTTATTATTTGAAAGTGAATACAGACATAAATAAATACAACTTTTTATCTGATATTATAAATAAAAGCGATCCTAGATAATTATTGCTACCATTCATAATCTATTTAAATTAATTAAGAAAAAATTTATTATAATAATTCAGCAATTAAATTTATCAAATAAATATTTATAGGTTTTTGTAAATTTAACTAAGAAAATAGAAAGGTTTAATTTGATTTGATAAAGGATAATTATATAAATCAGTAAAGGAAAGTACCTTATTGAAAAAGGAAAGTAACTTTAGAATCAGATCTATAATTGAGATTAAAATATAAAAACAGAGAAATAATTAAATTTAAGAGAGACGATGTAGCTAGTAATTCTTAAATTTTTTATATTTTTTTATTTTTGATTTTCTTGGATATTTTGCGTTTATTTTGGAAAATTCCTTTGAGTAACTTTGATATCCAATCATCTCCTATTAAATATGAAGCTAAATTGATTGTGAAATATCTTATTATAAAAAGACTTAAAAATGTTAGGTTTAAAAAATAAGCTAAAGTCTCGCTTCATCTTGCCATGATGAACTTAGTCATGGATGAAGGAAAGTTAAGAGTAATATTAATTAATGGCTATCAAAAAAAGAGATATAAGTTAAGCATTAATTTACTAAGACAAACGTTTCATAATTTACAAAGATTAACCTACAGGAGAATTTAGAAGAGAGAATCATAAGTATTTTGATCTTAATTATGTAAGGTAGAGCTTAGAATTTAAATAAATATAAATTTAGTTGATAGCTGAATCTAAGAAGTAATTCCATAAACTCTGCTAGCATAGTACTTAGATTAAAATAGATAGGTTATGGGAAAAAAAGGATTTTCTAGCTGAACCAACTATAAGAAGATAACTCATACGTTTATAAGACCACTCTGTTCATATTGTTCAATATAAATAAACTCTTTCTAAGACAATTTGGCTTGAGGCTTTACAGTGAAGAGAAGTTAGGCTTATTCGAGAGGATTGGGCTATAATTAGCTTATAAATATTATTTGAATAATTGGCAAATCTGAAATTAATCACTTCTGAATATTGGTGTATCTCATGTAAGGCAGATTCCACGTACATCTCTAAACCCTTATAATTTAAAAAATAAGAAAGAGTAGGCTCTTAATATTATTCTATTAAAATTAATTATTAGGGTCATTAAGATCTCCCAGATTCTTCTTTTATATGAAGATAATTTTAAGAATAAGAAGACACATTCCATTATCTCTAGGCATCCCATAACTTGATTTTTTGATTGTCTAGTTAATTTTGCAGCACCTCTTATACGACCTTTGAGATTATTATCCTCATTTTATTTGCTTCAATCCCTAAAGTATATCAATTCAACAAGACTATTTAACAGGGAAATTTATATGAAAAGAAAAATTTTTTAAAGCAACCTATGGTAAATCTTGGTGAACTTCAGTTAATTTGGAGGAGTAGAACTGATGAGTTAATATTGTAACTCAAACTCATCTGCTTATTAAGACATATTTTTGCAAAAGCTATGTGATAAATTTGATTTGCCCTTGAACTCTTAGATGATAGGAAAAATAAGTAGTGGAATTAGAAATATAATTAGCAAAGCACCGCATAGATATTATTAATTGGATAAATTAATATTAAAAATTTTAAAGTAAAAATGAAATCATGTATAATTTTATTATTTCTAACATTTCTATTTTCTTATCTAATTCTTTTTAAACTTAACTAATTTAAATATCTTTTTAGCTGATCTTTAGATTTAGTTCTTAAACTTAGTATTAATTTTTTCGTTATTCTTCTTTTATTTATTATATATAATTATTCTACTCTTCTATCAGCTTGTAATTTATTAATTACATTTCGTCATCGTATATTTTTATTCTAATTACATCCCCTTTTTAAATTCTTTAAGCTAATCTATTGTGTTATTCTAATCGTCAATCATCTTCTTACTCTCTTATTTTAATTTATCGTATTCTATCCAAAGCGCGTTAGTTGTTTCAATATCACAAAATTTTTTTAATTATTGAAATCATTTTGAAATTTATCAGTATAATTTTGAAAAATTTTTGAAAGTATGTAAGATTTATAAAACCAGGAATTTATTTCATTTTATTATTATTACTTTTTAATAGGTGATATTAAAATTTTTGAATTGTTTGATTAAATAAACTCTGTTAGCAATAAATTTATTTAGAAGAATTTAAGAGCTCTTCTAATTCTTGTTTTAAATTAGTTATTCATAACTTCCTTTAGTAGACTCTAAAATTTGTTAATATTATAAATTAATCCCTTGAATTTCATTATCTTCTTGTAAAATATTTAATGACGCTTAGAATTCTAATTAATTATGTTATTTTAAGTGCTCCAATTTGTTTTCAATCTCTTTTAAAAACAATAGATCCTTTGATTTTTCGTATTCAATTTTTGAATCCTAGGGTTGCTTTTCTTTTTTGTACCGAATTAAATAACTAATATTTGAAACTAATTCTTCATTACTTAATCCTTGGAGAGAGATTTACTTGAATTTACAAATATCAACTGTTTTGGTTATTGAAAATTATGTAATTATCTATTCACTGATTTCATTAAGTTATTAGTTATAATTTTTCTAATCAAAGCAATTAATTAATTTAATTTCTCTTATTTATCTTGCCTCATTAACTTCAAATCATTTAAGTTTCGATCTTATTGTTATTTTGAAGAATTCCATTCCTGATTTACTTTTTCAATCGTTCTATATTAACAATGCGGATAATCACTAATGCAATCAACGCACGCAAATCTATCATCTAATTTTTTTCTTTATGTCCATATCAATCAATATAATTTCCTTATTATGTGCAAGGCAAATTTTGTTCAAACTGGGAGTTTTCTAAATAAAAAAATTTACATAATTATTTTTATTTTTTTGGGCCATTAATTCACTTTAAACATATTGGCTTATTTAATTGATCTTCTGTTTAGCATCCTTGAATGTGTTGATAGTTTAAAAATATGAAGCGTTATTAAATAAGAGTTCAAATTGTTTAAAAATTCCATCAATAAATTAGCTATCTCATTAAAATTAAATTTATTTGTCTTGGAACTCTGATGAAAGAAATTCAGATAATGATTTGGCATCATCTTAAAAATTCTGCTAGATTTAAATGCCTTCAAATAAAGATTATTTTTCTCTTTATACCGAATGAATTTAGGCTATTATTTGACTTTAAATTTTTTCTAAAATATTTTCAAAACAGTATTTTTGAAATCCATAATCATTTCAATCTTTTTATCTTATTTTCTTTTTTTTTGCGTTTTAAGAGATGATATTCTATCTATTGCTTATTCAATAGTTGATATTTTGATATTATTTATTTTCTCAGCCAAACAATCACAGCACAAGTATTAAAACTATCCTTTTCAGATGTGTCAAGATCTAGAGCAATAATCTCAAGTTTATGAATTTCACAAACCATTTCTTAAACCTCAGGCTTTATTTTCGTAATTATGAAGTTAAAATATTCATCATATATGTGATTTTATTTTTATGAATTATTTGTTTTTCATTTCAAAAAATACTTAATCGAATTCTTTTAAAATGAATTTTATTTCTGATTATTATTACAATATAAAATGACATAATAATCAATTATGGTAATATATAGCAATACTAATATCATAATAAGTCTGTATCGATAGTATTGATAACAAGAAAGTTAACTTTAAGCTTTGAATTTTTCTTAAAATCAATATTTCGATGATTAAAATCCTATCGCAATTTTCAACACTTGGTATATTTCCCCTATTAAAAAAGAGAAAGAGAAGTGATATGAAATGAAATAATTTGCAAATCAAATTAAGATGAAATTCAAGAGGATAAGGAATGGTTTTTAATTTTGAGAATCTAGTAAATTATAACTTACTCACAACTGTAATTGTAAGGATGAAACTACATAAAAATATAAACATCAGGAGTTGTGAAATTAGATTTTAATGAAATACTTGAACTTGATTTTGCTTTTAGCATGAGAGTTGACTTACAAATGGTTAGTTGGTAAGACATTTCTTCTTTGCAGAACAAGATAATAAAGAAATGTATTAGATTATATATTTTTAAGTCAAACAAGGAGAAAATCAATTTCAAGTTGAGTAGGGCTGATAATTTTAATCTAATGAAACAATTGTTATAAAGAAGAGAAATGCAAACATGAATTAATCAATTAACAATATAATCAATATGCAAACGGTTATATTTATAGAAATAATTGATTTTTTATTAATTACTTTTAATATCTTTTTCTATTTTTTCTATGCATCTTTATTGCTCGTAATTAATTCTAAAATAAAGCCTGGGGATAAAACGATAATATGAGCCCATCAGTCCTAATATGATTATTTTTTCTTGATAAAAATATTCAGCAAAATCTTAAATACGCAAGAAAGAACTAAACATAGACTTGATGTATATAAATAAAAATTGAATAAATCCGCTATTACTGTAAAAGCCAATATTATAATTCAGGTAATTTAAATTATACTGATATCTCAACTACCATCGAAACCAAATAGTTATATTTATTTTAAACCTTTCTATAATTAAATAATGACCTAATCTAATATATACTTGTAAAAGGAGTAATCCTAATTAAAAATTTAAGATTTTTAAATATTAATAAGAAATAATAAACAGAAAATTATCTTCTAATTTTAATATTAAACAAAATATTACGAAGAATATTTCAATTTCATTAAATTTTAGGTCTCAAAATATTTATTTACCTTTGTTTATCTTTTTGATACATTATTTAGCTAAATTATCCTAGATTTTATTTAAGATAAGTGTTTCACAGCCAAAACATGTACTTTGGAAATAAAATGGAGAGAATCAGCTCGGGCTTGTGATTTTAATTCATTTCAGAGAACATTAATGTAAACGAAGCAAATCAACCAAAATGAATGAATTCATGCTAATCCAAATAAGTTGATAAAAAATCAATTATTATGTTTCTACATGTCCTTAAAACTACTTGAAGAAGTATAATTTCTTATAGAATAAAAAAATTTCACAATCGAGCATAGAAAGCCTTCCAAAGTCTTTCTAAATTGTTATTCTTGACAGAAATTAATCTTCATCATGGCAAACATGATGATGCATATTTCAAGAGATTTTTTGTGCTGTTTTTGCTTGTACTAAGTGTAGTACATATTATTAGATTTGAAGCACCTTGATGACAGGATCCTAATACTAATAGTCTATGCATATGGATTCTTTAAACTTGAAATGCAAACTCCAATGCTCAGGCTAAACAACTGGCGATTACATGATTATACTGGCACTAGCAAAATTTGAAACTCTGTTTTAAGGATGAAGTTAACAATATGTACATTATTTTGTTCGGACATGATAAATTCTGCCTATTTCTCTATGGATCCTTACCTGCGTATCTCCTTCTATACTCAAGCCATTACTTAACTTGTTGTTATAATACAGGTTCATTTGTTCTGGTACTTATTTTAAGATTATGTTGATGGACTTTTTCTTAATAAAAACAATTTTTAGTTTTCAGCATTAAATTTTATTTTGAGAATAAAATTTAAAAAGAATAGGAAATATAATTTAAAATAGGTCCATATTGATAAATGATCTATTAGGAATTATAATCTCAGTTATATTAATTAGCTATGAGATTTCGTTATCAAATGCAATTCACCTTGCTCGATTTTTTTTAAATTTATTTGAATGAACTCAAAAATGAAAATGAAGGTTGTTGCGTTGAGTATTATGATAACAATTAGTAGCAGTGGTGTATTCAAGATATTTTTATAGAGTATAAAGAGACATTTTAGACTATATGTCTTGTTTAATTAATCAAACTAGAAGTTTATACAGTTTATTTTTAATATTAAGCTAAAAGTAAATGTTATCTATTTTCCATATTCTAATTTTATGTATTTTTATTTATCTCTAATATTAAATGGCATTAGTAAATTTAAACTTAAAATTTAGACCCTGGTGAAAAAAGCGAAGTGTAAAACTAACTAATCCAAACTAAATTATTGTGATTGTGAGATAAAATTAAAAATTGAATAAAAGATGGCTTAATAATTTGTTAGTTTTAATTAGCTCATCGGATTTGTAATTAAAACCACTGCTAAATGTGAATTAAAACATTTATGTGAAGTAGATTAAAACTCTTCTTTTATGATGATTGTTGAAATTGGAGATTAGTAGGTTTATGGAGAAGTAAATGAATTAGAAGAAAAAATAAGAAGAAGATTCATAATAAATAAAGAATGACAGCAGTGTTAAGTAAAAAGGATAAACATTAACAAAAATATAAAAAGTAAATATTAGTTGTTTGACTTCTAATAACGCTAGTTTATTTTGGAAATTAGATTTTTTCTCCTATTATAGATACTACTAAACTAATAATTAATGAATTAAACAATACGAATTAAATTTATAATTAATGATGCTTTTTTGTTAAAAATACAGCTATTATATTTTGGCTTAGGCATAATATATCACAAAAATTTAAAAGTTTGAGTTATTATCGATGTTAATCGTTTTTATTCAATACTAAAGCATACTGAAAGGCTAAAATAATTAGATATTTATTCTGGATGTGTCTCAATTCTTTGAATAAGCTTCATTCATTAATGAGCAAAGATTCTAAATATACGCATTGAGGAAATAAAGGCTGCTTAGATTGGCTTCTTTTCTTACCTTTGCTGTTCACAACATCTTGATTACATCATAGGAGGACAATAATTAATAGATTTGAGATGGACCTATTCAACGCTGATTATAGGATGAGTAGAGAAAAGTTCTTGAAATTTTCAGAAAGGAAGAGAGACTTAAAGTATTTTCGAACAATATTGCTGGATTCTCTACAACGGATGTAAAAAAATTTTGGTCAATTGATCAATTTAATAAGTAAGGTGTTCTTTCAGGATCACTTTTTAGTTTTTATTTCTAAACAGCTTAAATATACATAAACTGCTTCTTATTAAGAATTTTTTCCCTTTTCCAAAAATAGGGTTCTTTTTATTTCACTGATTATGGTTAAAATAAATTAATTAGAGGAGTGAAGCAAACTTCTTAGATAAGAGTTAGATTCTGTTTTATCAAAACTGGCTTATTTTATTCAAAAACTCCTTCTCCATTCATTAGATAAGTTATCAACTATAAATGGTTAATCAGGAATAATAATTGATATAATGCTAGTGGAGAACACATTTTGGAGGAGAAAAAACTTGGATTTTATTTGTATACTTTGTGTTAAAATGATTTTCTCAAATATATTTATCAAAGCTCACGTTAAAGTAATTATGTTTATATTTAGTCCACATTATATAGGATATTAATTGGTTGTTTTACATAAAACACAAACTGAAAAGCGTTCTGACTTCTATTTAGCATTAACTGATTATTACCATATTTAGAGTTGATACATAAATGTTAAACATGTATATACTTGGATTTTAAGTTGTTTGTTTTATTATTAGATCATTATATTGATGATAATACTTATAATTAGTTAGAATAAAACCAAAATATTTTGTTCTAGAACAACTCAAGATTTATAATCCTATGTCTAGATGTAATTCACCAAGATTTTCGACCATTTGCATATATTTCTTGAGAATTAAGATCACCCAATACAATTTTAAAAAGGATTGAGAATCCTTCTATTTCTTGGCAAAGCGGCATTTTCTTTAATTCATATCTAAAATCTGCCCATGCTCATGCAAGAATAAATTATAATTATATATTTTTTAATTTTTAAATTAATGATTAGCCTAAGAAGTGCATTATTGAGAGAATATTGATATGAGAGTGAAGAATGGAAGGAACTTACTCTGTTGTACATCTACTCTTTCTCAAATAATCTAGGAAACCTAAATGTAACTAGAACCATTAAAAAATATACGAAATTTAGTTCATTCAATTTACACTTTATTCATTATTCATCATAGATTAGTAATATAATTGAAATAAAATCTTTGGTGAAAAAAATTTGAGAATTTTGTAATCCATCCTCAAACATTACGAATATAATTTAGACTATAACGAAAGTAATGGGTTTTATGCAAAATGAATGTTAAAACATATTAAAAGATATTTTGAATAACAAATCAATCTTGTTAAATAAATGATTTCTTTATACAAGATTGGATGGATGATGAATTTTGGATTAAATGGATAGGAATTCTTAAAATGCCACTGAAATACAAAAAATAAATATATTTAGTATTTATAAAGATTCTTACTACTTTTTATTATTGAAATATTTGTTCACATTTAATATTTGATAATATTCTTTAACAAGGAAAATCATCATTCATTCACTTACATTTTTTGAAAAAAAAAATTAAACAACCAAGGTATTTTAATAGTTTGAAATAATTATTATAAATCGATACTATATTTTATAAGTATTTGATATCTTCAAACAGGGGCATTCATTTATTGGTAATATTTAGATTTATAATTATACATTTAAAGTTACTTGGTAGACTTATTAATTTATAGTAACCAATCTGATTTAATTTAGATGCTATCTTGATCTAACTTAATTAAAAGAATAAGTTTTAGAGAGTATATAATATAATTAAAATTCATGAAAATTTATAATATGCTTCAGCTTTCATAATGTGCAGGCCTGTATTGAATGTATTGCCTTTTATATTGAATACATCAAATCTCTCAACAAATTAATCCGGAAATGCTATCGTAACTATTGAAGTGGCTAAATTACTATCATAAATTTTGGTCTGAACTCCATTCAATACAGCATAAATAATAATTGTATAAAATCTGATGGGTTCATTTGTGAGATAACCGAAATCCCAAAGCCAAATTTTGAATGTATTCAATAAATATTTTTACATAGGTGATACGGAAATTTTTTCGTTATAAAAAAATATTTCGGTATAGGGCACCCCATTAGTCATAATAGTATAAGCATCATCTTTTAAGAAAGAACCATAATTTCCATCCAAAAACCTATGATATCTTGCATGTGGAATCAATGCTCCAAAATATTATTATAACACATTCTTGTGATTTTTATTCAATATTGATTATGATGCCTTAATTTATCTCACGCATTCCTAATTGGAAACCTATATTAAGAAAAAGTAAATAATAAATAGAAACTCACTCTTCATTTTAAATATAATAAGTAAAAAATAATAATTAAAATTAAAACAGGCAATTTACTTTTTAAAGAACACTAATTAATTAGATTAAATTCTATTCTGCTGGCTACTACAATGATTACCAATATTTTTAAATTTGTAAATCCTTTAAAGGGGCTCAATTAATTTGATAATTTGTTTTAATTGAAGAATTAATCATCAACAATAATGCAAATAAAGACACTAAAACAATTAAACTTATCATATAATTATTTATTTCTTTATATATTTACAATAGAAGTTTTAGACAACTAAATTTTGAAGAATAGCATTTTGCTCACCTTTTTCGCCAGCCTATCTTCATACACTTTAATACTTTTATTTATAAACAATAATTTCTTCCCTTTTTTTCCATATCATACAGAACTAAACTTTTTATATCCACAGAAAAAAATATACAATACTAAGTGACTAACTTCTGGGAATCTTATTATATAATCAAATTCCAACTTCGTTTATCTTGTCTTTATTTAAATCTTGCAAGTATATATGTAATATTTTTCAGAGAGAGGGTCAAATTTTTATTTTTATTCATCTAGATAATTTATGTATTTTGACCTTTATTCTAGTTCTTTTGCAATTAGTTTCTCAAGATTTTATTCAATAGGTTGATTTCAATTTCAGGAGATTCTGTTTAAAATCTAAAAAGCGCAAATTTCTTATCATATCCTGATATACATCATCTATTTAACTTAGGTCAAGTAAATTCTTTCATCAAATTAGTTTCTGTTAGAAAAGAGAAATAAAATTAGTTAGAAGCCATTAATATTGAGATCTTGATAAAAAACTAGAAGTAAATATATATTTATATATATTGTTATTCAGATTAATAAATAGGTGGTTATATAAAGATGTTAAATAAGGGCTGCTCTGCTTTATAAAAAAACAAATGTAACTTAAATTTTCTAAGAAAATTAGGAATGAAGTTATAAAAATTAAATTTTTACTTCTTAATATCTAACTTTCATCTATATTTGAACCACCATACTATTGTATTAGATCGGATAGTCATATCCTTTG